TATCCCCCCTTTACAACCCTCCCCCTGCCTCCATGGCAGACAATTTCCCCCACATTCTCTCTCTACTTTGGGGCATTATGGTTTGTAATACAGATACTGAGAGGATATCATGTTTAGTCCTTTATCTACTTTCAGCACACATCTCCCATCCCGAATGATTCCTCCAATCATCATTGACTTAGTGATCCTGTCTCTATTCCAGCTGTCTTCTCCCCCAGCTCATGAGATAAGCTTCCAACTGGCCTTTGTGTCTACTGCATTTGGGTGTCAGTCTCATATTATTTTATAGTCCACAAATGAGTGCAGGAATCTGTCTGTACCTATCTTTCTGACTCATTTCACTTAGCATGATACTCTCCATGTTCATCCACTGTTAAGCAAATTTCATGACTTTATCTCTCCTAACAGTTGCATAGTGAAGGTCCCATTTTGATGCCAGGGTATCTTTGCCAGTTGCCCCAGGTCCATCCCAGTCCCACGGCAGGACCTCCCTTTGGGGATGTTGGGAACTATAGCAACTGAATCCTGAGTCAAGTAATTATGACCAAGTAATTATGCCCAGGAGTACATATATTTCAATCAACTCCTAAATATTAGGAGCACAGCATTAAGGTCTTGCTGTGTTTAAGCAAAGAACATTGGTCTATAATAAAATATGAAAAAAGGCTATAGAGGAAATAGAAAAGAAAGTCACTGTCACTGTCCTCCCGTTGTTCATCTATTTGCTCAAGTGGGTCCAGTAATGTCTCCATTGTGACACTTGTTACTGTGTTTGGCATATCCAACACGTCATGGGGAGCTTGCCAGGATTTGTCATGCAAGCGAGATACTCTTGGTAGCTTGCCGGATTCTCCAAGAGGGGCGGAGGAATCGAACCTGGGTCAGCAAGGTTGGCCACGTGCAAGACAAATGCCCTACCTGCTGTGCTATCACTCCTACAAATACAAAATCCAGACTTACCAGAAAGTTTTGGCTTACTTATAAAGTAACCAAAATTGACTTGAGGAACTGTGACAATGAGGTTAAAACACAAAGGAAAGGTTAAAGGTAAACTCAGGAGATTAAGGATGCTCACAAGAGCATTGTAAGCCTCACTGGGAGGAGGAAAAGGGGCAATTCACTGATGAAGCCTAAAACACTTAGGGTTAATAACCAACAAGAGGTTATCATGGTTGTTCCTTTACCTACTTTCAGCACTCAGTTCTTAATCAGACTGATCATTTCCAACTACCATTGCCTTAGTGACCCCTTCTCTATCCCAACTGCCTTCTCCCCAGCTCTTGTGGCAGGCTTCAAATCATGGACCAATCCTCCTGGTCCTTGTTTATACTGTCCTTGGGGTCTCACACCCCTTTTAGTGGTGTTTACATAAACTTGGCTGCAATTGGGTTAGAAATCATTTGCAACCCTGGGGATCACAGACAAGCAGAGTTATCAAGCTTAAACAGCAGAGCTGATGGGATAGTGCAGCATGCAAATGCTAGCACCAGGGAATGAATTCCTAACCACATGCTTGCAAGGCAGTCATTGCAAGCTACTACACTATTCTCCTGATATCACTTTAAAACAAACAAACGAACAAACCGTTTAGGGGGCTGGAGTGATAGTACAGCAGTTAGAGTGTTTTTTCTTGTACGTGGCTGACCCAGATTCAATCCCTGGCATCCCATGTGATCCTCCAAGCCAGCCAGGAGCAATTTCTGGGAGCAGAAGCCCTGAGAATTTTTGGGTGTGGTCCAAAAACAAAAATGTTTTAAAAATAAAAACTTTTAAAGAAATCTGAAAAACAGTACAGTAGATAGGTGCTTGCCTGCATGTAGCTGACCTGGGTTCAATCCCTGGCATCCTGTATGGTCTCCTGAGAACTTCCAGGAGTGACCCCTGAGCACAGAGTCAGCAGTAAGCCCAGAGCACCACCTGGTGTGGCAAAAAAATAAAAGTTCTCTTCTTTCTCCCTTGATTTGCTTCCTTCTCTGTCCTTCACCTCTCTAAACACTGAGGTCAAGGATGAGCAAGGCATCCCTTTACTACAGCACACTTCCTCATCCAGTATTCCATATACCACAGATAAGTGAGATGATCTTGTGTTTGTCTTTCTTCTTCTGGGTTACTTTACTCAACATGATATTTTCAAGATCCAACCAAGTTGAAAAGAACAGGAAGTAATGGGTGAACAAGTATCAGCGTGTCACTTATACTAGGGATATGGATAAGGAGAAGGGCCATATATTCAAAACACAAACTCAACAACACTGAAAGCATGAGCTGTAACCACTGGAACATTGTAATGTGACTGTCAAGTTGGCAGGCAGGGGATGGGGCAGGGTTTGGCGGTGGGGATGGAATATGGTTACTCTGACAGAGGGGAGTTGGCACTGGTGGTGGGCCTGGTGTTGAAATATTACCTGCTTATGACAATGATAGTTGGAAATAATCACTTGGCACAAGAACTGAGTGCTAGGTTATTTGACCATTGCATAATCGAAACCCAAGCACAAAAAATTGTAAATCTACAACTGTACCTCATGGTGTTTCACTAATAATAATAATAAAAAAATTCAAAAAAAAAAAGAACCGAGTGCTGAAAGGAGGTAAATTGATCTGCATGATAACCTTTCAGTACCTGTATTGCAAATAAATCATAATGCCTAAAATGAGAGAGAGCAAGAGAGAAGAAAAGTGTCTGCCAGAGACATAGGCTCAAGAAAGGAAGGAGGAAATCTGGGGACACTGGTGATGGGAAATATACACTAGTGAAGGGACAAGTGTTGGAACACTGTATGACTGAAAGCCAATCATGAACAGTTTTGTAACTGTGTACCTCATGGTGATTCAACATATATAGTTTATATATATATATATATATTCAACATAGATATGATTCAATATATACATTGAATCACCATATATATGATAATATGTATGTAGCACTATAGCACTGTCCTTCCGTTGTTCATCAATTTGCTCGAGCAGGCACCAGTAACATCTCACAAGAAATTGTGAGACTTGTTGTTACTGTTTTTGGCATATCAAATACGTCATGGGTAGCTTGCCAGGCTTTGCCGTGTGGGCGAGATACTCTCGGTAGCTTGCCGGGCTCTCTGAGAGGGACGGAGGAATCGAACTCGGGTCAGCCATGTTGGCTACATGCAAGGCAAACGCCCTACCCACTGTATACATATAATGCCTAAAACTCAACTCTCAATAACTTTGTAAATAACAGTTATTTAATATTTTTTAAAAAGAGAAACCTTTTAATTCAAAAAAATGTAAATGATGGAGAATGGGCACTGGTGGAGGGATGAGTACTGGATCATTGTATAACTGAAACCCAAGCACAAAAATTTGTAAGTCTACAACTGTACCTCATGGTGTTTCACTAATAAAACTTTAAAAGAGAGAGAGAGAAATCTTTTAGATATAAATTATATTACAGTAAAGGTGTTGTTTTGTAAACTACCCCTCACCCTCACCAATGATGCATTTGAAAGTCATTCCATACCAACATAAGGTACATCTTTTTCTTTCCTTTTCCCAATCTCTTCTTCCTTATTTCTATGTATACTATGAGAATTTCAATTTTGCTGATTTCCCATTATAAATAACATTATAGAAATAACCTGTGTGTATCTCATTTTTTCATTTTTATCTTTATCTATAAACTAAATTCACCCAAGTAGAACTTCTCAGAAAAAAGGATTAATTTTTGTATTTTTTCTATAACTGCTAGTTCATAATCTTCGATCATGTTTAAATTTTGCAACTGACCTAATATGAGCTCCTTATACATTAGCAAAACTAACCTTGATCTGAAACGTACACCATGTATTATTTTTCCACTTTCTTATTTGCCTTTGACTTTGTTCACCATGGTTTTCCCGCATAGAATCTTTTTTATCTCATACAATCAAATTTAGAAAACTATTTTGTTTGTTTTTTCCTTTATTATATTTGAAAGTTATTCCCCAACCCCCGAATTAATTTTGAAATCTTGTAAGAGCTTTTCCAATACTTTGTTCAGTATTAAATAAAGTTTTATAAAACTGATTTTTTCTTGTTAATTTTTTTATTGATTTACAATGCTGTCAAGTCTCAGAAGCATAACTTCATAAGTATGGGCTGGAGCGATAGCACAGCGGTAGGGCGTTTGCCTTGCATGCAGCCAACATGGCCGACCCGAGTTTGATTCCTCGTCCCTTCTTGGAGAGCCCGGCAAGCTACCGAGAGTATCTCGCCCGCACAGCAGAGCCTGGCAAGCTCCCCGTGACGTATTCAATATGCCAAACACAGTAACAACAAAGTCTCCAATGGAGATGTTACTGGGCCCGCTCGAGCAAATCGACGAACAACGGGAGGGCCTTTACCTTTACCTTTACCTTTACCTTATAAGTATGGTTACGACTCACCAAAACCACCACTATCAAGCCAGCATCATCTCAATTATCAAAATGGCCTAGCTCTCTTTTTTCTTCCTCTTTCCTTCTAGTAAACACCATAGTTTTCACCAAGTCCAGGAGTTTTGTTATTTTACTTTTCCAGTTCCTTTTCTTTAGTTATTTATATTCTGCATATAACTGAGACTCCTCATTAACTGTGTTCTACTTACTTTACTTAACATATCACCTCAAGAGCTCCCATTTTGTCCCCAAGGGTATGGTTTCATCTTTTCCTTCTTCAATTATTTCATGTAAGCATCGTGATTTACAAAGTCACTCATAGTTGGGCTTTAGACATACAATGTTCCATCACCAATCCAGCCACGGGGTTCATCTTCCCTCCACCAGTGTTCCCAGGTTCTCTCTCCTAGACCTACCCCACTCCTCAATTTTCCATCTCAATAGATACATTTTTTATTTTATTTATTTATTTATTTATTTTGAATACCCATCCCTCCACGAGCGCCCATTTCCCACCGCCACGGATCCCAATATCCCTCCTAACCCCCATCCCTCCCATCCCACCTGCCTCTGTGGCAGGGCATTCCCCTCTGTTCTCTCTCTCCTTTTGGGTGCTGTGGTTTGCAAAAGAGTTAAGTCTGATTTTCAGGGAGAAACGCTGGATGATTTACTTTCCATTGATCACTTTGTATATAAGGAGGTGTCGCGCGGCCACATAAGCAGCCACGCAGTTTGGAAAGAATGTCCTGGTGCCCGCTTGCAGGCTCGTGGTCATCAGGGTTCCATCTGGAGAAGGCAGGATGCAGCACCTACCCCATCTGGGACCTCCCGGTGATATCGGCTCTATTTGGGACCTGGAGCATTCTCCGAGAGCTGTGGTGCCCCTCCAGCCGGTTTTCTTCTTTGTTGTGCTGTAAGATAGACACATTTTTTAAGTTCATTTAAGTTTGGGTCTTATAATTTCAGTGTTGTTGACTCTATGTTTTTGATATTTAGCTCTCCCATTCCTTATCACCACCAAGGTACATTGACCTTGGCCCACTGTTAATTCTCATCTGTCTCTTCTCCCTCCACCCTCCACTTATTTTCTTTCCTTCTCCCAATACTTTGGTACCAAAGGTGATCTAGGCATCTCCCCTTTAAACCAGTGCATTTCCTCATGCAGTTACTGTAACCACATATAGGTGATATCATCCTGTGTTTATCCTTCTTCTGGCTTGCTTCATTTAACATGACCTCTTCCCGTTCCGTCCATGTTCCAGCAAATTGCATGATTTTATCATTCCTTATATCTGTGTAGTATCCCATTGTTTATACACACACACGTGTGCGTGCACACACAAACATGTATTTCTCAATACATTAATCACACATCTTAATGATCCACTGATCTATTATCAGACATCTGGGTTGATTACATATCTTTGCTCTTGTACTGAGTTCTGCAATGAATAATGGTGTGCATATGTCCCTTTGAATGAATGTTGTGTGTCCTGGGTGGGTACATGGTTTCATCTTTGTAAAAGGTAGAACAATATCCATTTCATATATAGACACAGCTTCCTTATCCATCATCTCCGAAGAGCATTTAGGGTTGGTCCATATACTTGTCGTTAGTAAAGCTACTGTTGACATACGGTAAAAATTTACTCTCAGATTAGTGATTTTATATCTTTCACGTAAATTCCAGGAAGGGCATTGCATCTATATTTCCATTTTTATTTTTCTAGGGACTCTCCATCCTGTTTTCACAGAGGCTGCACCCATGCACATTTCCAGCAGCGCACCAGAGTCCTTTCCCTCCACATCTTCCAACACTTGTTTTCAGACATTTTTAGCAAGGTCATTCCCACTGGTATGAAGTAACAGCTCACTGATGTTTTGATTTGCATCTCCCTAATAAAACATGAAGCTAAGGAGGTTATCATGCATATATTTTGTGTGGGGAATGTCTATCCATTCAGGTCTTTTTGCCCAGTTAATAAGGATTTCTTGCTTTTGGTTGTTGAGTTGTGTGAACAATGTGTAAATTTGGATAATAAACCTTTTATAGGATATATTGAAGCAATTTCTTTTCCTACATAAAGGCCTTTTAATCTGATGTGCTATTTTCATACACTTTATTTTTGCTTCCCTTGTCTGTGGAGTTGAGGTTCCAGAAACATAGCCGAGGTCACAATCTTGGAATTGTATCACCTACATTTTCTTCTATGTATTGTATGGTTTGGTGTATAACAGTCTTCAAACCATTTAAGTTAATGCTTGTGTATAGTATAAGCAATGATGTTTTCTCTATTTGGGGGCAGGGTGGGGAGTAGTGGCTAATGTAGCAACCAAACATCCCCAGCCCATTCATTGATGAGGACTTCCTTTCTGCATCATATGATCTTGGCTCCCTGGTAGACTAGATGTCCACATATAGTCTTACTTACGACACCTCTTTCTAGTCTATTACTTACTTATTTGTAAGTAAGTCTGATTTTGTTCCAATATCATACATTTTAATTGTTTTTTCTTTGTGATCTAGCTAAAGTCAGAGACTGAGAAGCATTCACTTATTTGCTTTTTCAGAATTGTTTTGGCTATTCAGGGTCTTGGTAGTTCTACACAAATGCCAAGACTGTCCTCTTCCTTGGAAAATGGCATGGGTAAGATATAAAGAAATGAAAAGATATCTTATATTTACAAACTGGAGATCTTTTTAATCTTTTAGGTATTTACATTGACTTGCAGTACTATAATAATTCAGAGTATTATTCCACCAATACTATATGAAATATTTATATATTCATAGAAATTGATGACAAATATAAGATGGCCAAAACACAAGGATGGCATTTTACCTTAAATTACAAGTCTCCAGAAGTTAGTCTATGAAAATGTCACCAAATAAAACTTATTCCACCTTATCTATCTGCAGAGAATTCAATTAAATTCCTTCTGAACTGGTGGCACTATAACCTTTCATTTTCAAAAAAAAAAAATACAGTGGCTCTCCTTAAGGGTCTCATTTCCTGACTGTCGAGTCAATGTCCACGGACTTCAAAGAGGCGATAACTTGAGGTAGAAAAGTAAAAAGGAAAGATGGGCCTTGAAACAGCAACAAAAGGATGCTGCAGACGATCTGATTCTACTTCAAATAGGTGCCGAATCTCAAGCCAATTCACTATTGTGACACAGAGTGGCGAGGACCCCCATCCTGAAAAGGAAAAAGGAGAACTCATTTTGTGACCAATTTTTCAGACAATGTGTAAAAATGAATCTCACTGCGGGCATCTTCCTAGGGTCAAGAACTTAGTTCCACTGACCAGAACTCCTTACATGTGCCATCCTTAAGATTTACCAAAAAGTAATACAACTTTTTGTGGAAACCATGAAAGTTTTCCAGATGGAAACATTATGGTTCGGTGTAAGTGCAAATAATAATATTTATACTATATATATTTTATATATGCATATATAAATATATAATATAATATTGTATATAATATTGTTTTATATATAACTATATACATATATTTATATAGTACATATATTTATACTATATATATAAAATATTTATTTGTCCTGGTAATCCTCATGAGAATTGTGTTGCTGTTTTTTAAAAGCATTTTAATATTGAAAGTGGTGGTATGCTTCCCTGTAACTTCACAAATGAATTTTGAATAATATACTGAGTGCTGAGAAAATCAGTAGGTGTGCTTTGTAAACACCTTCTCCTGTCTCATCATTTGCAAATGCTGAGATATTAAGTCAACACTATCAAAATAAAGCCATGGGCAGCAGGAAATGGGGCATCAAAGCCATCAGCAAACCACATACAAGAAAATGCTTAAGGAAAATGATTAGATTCCTTATCCAACCGACTGAGTAACAAAAAAAAAAAAATGGGGAAGTACACTTCACATCATAATCATCAGTCTCTATCTCTCATAATGTTGAGAGGTTTTATTTCCTTGTGAAATAGCCTTACTGCTATCCAGCTGTCATTAAAAGTATTATAACATGGGGCCAGAGTGATAGTACAGTGGGTAAGGTGTTAGCTTTGCATCTGGCTGACCCGGGATGGATTCCCAACACCCCAGATGGTGCCCTGAGTCCACCGGGATGATCCCTCAGCACAGAGTCAAGAGTAAGCCCTGAGCACAGCCGAGAGTGTCCCAAAATACGAAAAAAATAAAGTAAATAAGGTATCATTACTCAAAAACTCATATAACTTTTTAAAATGAGACTGTGAATACTAATAAAAATAATTTCGTTCATTTACAAATCTCCATCCCCTAAAATAATTACATCAGTAAAATTATACCTGCTTCAACATTTTTATTATGATTATCAAAATAATACTAGATATTGGCAAAAGAAGTAGACATTGGAAATGACTTTTTGAGAAAAGCAATAATCTTCTGCTCACCCAGGTCTCTACTCCTCAGAAGCAATATTGGTTTCTGTCTTTAGTTTTTGTAGCAGTTAACTCCCATAATTCCAAATATGTATATACGTGTATATACATACATTACTTTTAAAATTGTATTTATTTTTATAAAGTTGTTCACTATAAATTCATTACATTTAATATTCAAACACCAATCCCACCAACATAAGAGGAAAGTGTGTGAAGATTTTGTTGTATTTCATCCTGGATCATTTAAGCCCTTGTATAAGAGATTACAGGCATGTATTTTAAACCCAAACAATGTGTGCCACTTTTGGTACATCAGTGGACTAGAGAATTCATGGCCATGTACTCCAGGAATTCTGAAATTTAGAATATGATTGTAGAGCGGATTCATTCATGGATAAGGCCTATATCACTCTCTTCTTGGCCATTGATGAGATCATATCAACAGTTTGATATAATCAGGGGGGCAGTTTGTGGGTGTGACTTCCAAGCTACTAGAAAACTAGGGAGCTGGGGGAAGGAGGCCCAGTCCTGCTCTGAGCAAGCTTGGAGATTTCAGTCACGGGTCCCACATACCTGAGTTTTCTGCAGGTTCCCTCATAGGTGAGGCTCATCTGAGCCTGTGGAAAATGGCCATGAGCATGGCTGCATTTGAGTTCTAGAGATTTTCGGCTGCTGGGGTTTTGCTGCGGCAGGGAGGAAAACTCAACCCACCCCACTCTGAGTTGCCCCAGTGAAGACTATCCGCCGCAGTGTCCGGACATTTACACACATGACTTAATCCATCTATAAGCGATATTCGTAGAGTCATCATTTGCTCTGCCCTAAAATTCTCCTGTGCCCTCCTGCCTACTTTGGGGAGTTACAATACACCTTTTAGCTCTCACTTTCAATGCCTTTAAATTATTGAATTTTAAGTTTCAATTTCCTTTTCTACTATGTTTGAGGGGATTTCAGATGACACCCAGCAGTGCTTGGGGGCTACGCCCAGCTCAGTGGCCGTGGCTCTCTCTCTTCTCAGTGCTTGGAGGACCACGAGGTTCTAAGGCTTAAACCCAGCCCTCCAACATGCAAAGCATGCAGTCCAGACCTCTGCGCTCCCTCCCCGATCCACTGTTCTGCTATTCAAAGTCAACGTCTTTCAACTCCGTATTCCACCAGAAGAGCAAAGAATCAGATCCCTTGGGCTTTTCTCTGCTTCTCCTCTTTTCTTTCTGCCTGCTGACTTCTTAGACAAATACACCCTTTTCACATCCCCAAGTACTGTTCCGTAGCTATCATTCAGTTCTCTATGCTTAATCTAGGACCTTATTTTAAATAGCAAAACCAATTAGTATTATTCATGCTATTGTTACTAAAAGTATTATTGGACTCAGGGCCAAAAATGGTTTCTACTGAGTTCAATGGCACAATCAAGAGATTCAGATAAAAGGAGACCATTTCTAGCCCCAAAGAAAAAGAAATCAAATGCTTTTTTATTTTCTTTCTTTTATTTAATTGCATACTTATTTTACTACTCCTTAATTTATTCAACCTCGTGTAAGAATTCAATTTGCATTTGTAATAATTTTATTCACTTGCCTTTCTTTATGTTTTTTAGCCCACTCATGCCCTAAAATAGCTTTATTTTGCCCTCACTCTTGACTAGTAAGTTAGGTGGGGAATATGTCTAGTTCTAAAATCATTTCCCTTAAGTACTCAGAAGAGATTCCATTTTCTTTATACATGCACTGTTACTAACTAGAAGTCACAAGCAACCAGTGTCAGACTGGAGAGATAGTTCAATGGGCTAAGTGTATGCAAAACATACTTCACATACAAGCTTGGGCTCCATCCCCTGTACCACATGCTCCCCAGTGCACAGAGCAAGGAGGATCATGAGATCAGGCCCAATGCGGCCAAATAAGTAAATCAAAACAATCAGTGTTTACTAACCTTGAAGGGTTTTGTACTTCTCTCAAAGATTTTAGGACTTCCTTCTATATGAGTGATGCAATAGGATTGCACTGCAAGTGCATATAACATAAATTTGACTATAGTGGTAATAGAAAACTGTATATAATATATATGTGTGTATATACATATATATTTATATTTCATGATCTTGAGCTTGGAGAAAATGCTCCAGGAGGTGATTAGGGCATGCAGTCCTTAGAGTTTCTCCTGTTATCCTCACCATGCTATTGGAATTCTTGCTCGTGGCCACTGGATAACCAGTACACAGAGAGCTATCCCCTCTACAGTCTCAGAAGGGCTGGGTAAAATGGGAATCCCTGCCAGGAAATCTGTAGAAGAAATCATTTTTATTTCTAATTGCATACACTTGCACGCCAAACAAAATCAGGGTAATTACAATGAGGAAGAGAGGAGTGGCTTAGGCAACTAGTAGCAAATGTTACATTTGATTTTTTTAAAAAAATATGTAAGACTAATTCAGGGCTTACAGCTAAAAAGAAAAACAAGACGCTCGTCAGCACTCAGAAATGTTTCTTTAAAAAAATCACACATTATCTTGTTTTAGCTGAAATTATATATTAACAATTTTAAATCATATTTTAATTTCTAATAGGCTTTTCTTGTGTTGGAGCGATAGCACAACAGGTAGGGATTTGCCTTGCACGCAGCCAAAACAGTGGACCGGAGTTTGATTCCTCCACCAGGCAAGCTACCGAGAGTATCCCGCCCGCATGGCAAAGCCTGGCAAGCTACCTGTGACGTATTCAATATGCCAAACACAGTACCAAGTCTCACAATGGAGATGGTACTGGACCCGCTTGAGCAAATCAATGAACAACGGGAGGACAGTGGACAGTGGTACAGTGCTACAATTGGGTTTTCTTATTTCCTGCTTCTTTATAATAACATCCTTTCCTTATAGATGCAATAAGTTTGCCTTCTCTAAAGATAGGAATTTGAAATTTTTTTTTAATCTTTATTTCTTCAGGGTCATTTACTCTGAATGTTTATCTAAGTCTTTTGTCTTTCAGGCTGTGGATCTTGTTCCTATTTCTGATAATCCTTGATTACTAATTCATGAAGGAAAATGAAAGCCTATTTTGCATACATATTATTCCACAGTAGGGCACTCCCCTGGACGAAAAGGCACACTAAAAACTGTACTGTTTTAGAACTGGGCCAGCCCCAGCCATCCTGATAGAATCTGCACTAATTTAAGAATATCTTACCAGGCATCACTTTATCAATCATGGAATTGTTACACAATGTCCAGAATTTCCCATGGAGCCATTAATCTGATGGTTGGCTTTTCTTTTAGCTAAGTGAATGAGAGATGTGACATTAGCCTAGAAATCAAAAATTTCAGACAAGAAGAAATTGAATCTATGTACAAACACTGCACTAGAAGCCCTAGTTCCTAGTTGGCAAAGCATTCGATTGCCCTAGAGAATTACCAATAACGAGGCAGCCAATAATCCTGAGTGCCCTTGTATCAAAAGAGGTCATGAAGCATTGCATGGCATGTAGTATTTAGTGACGCCTCTATAGCTCACTCCCCTTGCCCAGGACTAGGTACCCTTGATCCAGGGCCTGTGAGGTCCTGTTCCAGAAGTCTAACTGTTGCTGCCACATTTTAATCACAGACAACCTTGCATGCACTAAATTTTAATTTGGGATGCTAAGACTTATTGCAAATCAGTTTTCTTAAGGAAACTTTTCGAACTGGGTCATTAGCTCTGTTGATAATAGACTCTGGGTATTTTTTTTTTATTTTATGCCTTTTTTTTCCTCACCTGCTGACTGCTAATTTCATTTTACAACCCCATGGGAGAGTTTATCAG